CGTCTGGGTGTGCCAAGATGGCGCCTGCGCCGGATGTATGTCACCGGACCGGAAGCTGCATCATGGCGTATCTACGCGTTGCGTCACTATACTACGTGACTTCATCAGGATCATTTTCACTACTGGAGGGACAACTTCAATAAATCCTTTCTTGCATGCTTGAAGGATGGACCTATCCCTCCCTGTATTGAGCCTTGCCAATGTTCTTTGTGAACCGCCATCCCGTTACCTGTCCTGGAAAAGATTTGCCAGCGATCTCACTACCTCAAGCGCAATGGCCGACATAACATCGGTGTTAAAAGGCAAAAGCCTTGGAATCCTTTGCTGGTCACATGTGCAATAGGGCCTGTGACATGGACTATATGATGGCCTCCTCCTCAAAAAACTACACTCCCTCGGCCTCAGAGATTCTGCTCTCTCCTGGCTCTCATCCTACCTGTCACAACGCTCTTTCAGCGTTACCTATAATGCTACCACCTCCCCCCTCACTCCCCTTCTCTATTGGGGTCCCTCAAGGCTCTGTCCTTGGGCCCTTTCTCTTCTCCATCTACACCTCCTCCCTTGGCCAACTCATACACTCTCATGGCTTCAACTACCACCTCTATGCCGACGACACACAAATCTATCTCTCAACCCCCCACCTCACCCCCTCGGTCTCCGCCTGAATCACACACCTACTGAGCGACATATCTGACTGGATGTCGCTCCACTTCCTTAAACTGAACCTCTCCAAAACCAAGTTTCTTGTCTTCCCCCCAGCCCGGACCCCACCCCCCCATTGACTTCTCCATCATATCCAACAACGCCAACATCAAACCTGCCCTGCAGGCCAGAGTACTTGGTGTCATTCTGGACTCCAACCTATCCTTCCAGCCCAAAGTCCAATCTTTAACAAACTCGTGCAGACTCCACCTCCGCAACATCGCCAAAATACGCACGTTCCTAACCCCAGAAACCACTAAACAGCTCATCCACTCCCTCATCATATCACGACTCGACTACTGCAACTCCCTCCTCACTGGCCTGTCTCGCCGCTGGCTATCCCCGCTTCAGTCGATCCTGAATACGGCTCCCAGACTCATTCACCTTTCCAACCGCTCCATCTCCGTCACCCCCCTCTGCCAATCCCTCCACTGGCTTCCGATTGCGCAACGGATCAAATTCAAAATCCTAACACTGACGTACAAAGTTGTCCACCATACTGCCCCGAACTACATCACTGACCTAATATCCAAGTACTGCCCAGCACGCACACTCCGCTCCTCACAAGACCTCCTTCTCTCTAGTTCCCTGGTCTCCTCCTATGCCGGCCTCCAGGACTTCTCCAGGGTGTCACCCATCCTCTGGAACTCCCTGCCCCAACCCATCAGACTATCACCTACTCTCCTGTCCTTTAGGTGCACCCTGAAAACCCATCTCTTCAGGGAAGGAACCCCTACCCCCCCCTGCTAACTTGCCGACCTCCTCCACTCTTCCTACCACACCATCCCCCACAGCTATCTCCTCCTGTGCCACCATCTCCTCCCTCCTAGATTGCAAGCTCGAAAGAGCAGGGCCCTCAATCCCCTCATGTTTTGCATTGTATTGGTATTGTTCTGTCACATGTTCTGTCCTCCTGTGTAATGTACAGCGCTGAGCGAACTATTGGCGCTTTATAAATACTGTATAATAATAATAATAGATGGTGGAGGAAAGGGTGATAAAAGCACATGATAAAGCTGCCTGTGCACAATTATTCTACAGTCTGCCTGTGGAGGTGAGGCCTCTGTTAGACTTGCTCGTTTTATTCTGCCAGGTGCATGAAGCAGGATAGGACATCCTGTTTGTCCTAGTTCTAAGTTGCTGCCAAAGGTGTCAGCTTATACAATAAAAGAGAAATCGCATCTGTTTGGGTGTTTAGAAAAATTCAGCTCTATCTTAATGGATGCATGGTTTCAGTAGTCACAGATCACAATATTTTAAATAAAGGTAAGAGGAGTGGCTGAGGATCATGATCTTGGTTCTCCAGCAACATGATTTTCCCATTACAAGAAATTGTATTGTAATCTTTTTTGTAAGGCATAAATATGAGGTTAGACACATTTAGGCTCAATTCATAAAACCAGTACACCAGAATAAAGATCATTCTTTGTAACAAAGTAACTTCACAAAGCTTAAAACACCAGGATAGGGCCTGTGTCGAATTGTATTTGTTTGCTTCAAGCAGCACTTCCCACATCTATAGGCAGGGCTTTTTTTCAGTGGGAGCATGGGGGAACACCGTCACCTCCCGCACTAAATGTATGTAATAGCAAAGGCTGGTGGGGTGTACTGCAGGGTCTGTTGATGCTCGTGGCTGGAGGATCTATTGTTGTTGAAGGGGATTTTGTTTTTTGTGTGTGTGGTCGTCTGTTGATTCTGGGAAGGTCTACTGTTGATGGTGGGGAAACTATTGTTGCTGCAGGTGCATCTTATGTTGCTGTGTGATCAATTGTTGCTGGGAGGGATCTGCTGTTGAGGGGAGGGCTTTATCATTGCTAGCTGATGAAGGGTCTATGTGGCTATTTTGTTGCAGGTGGTCCATTGTTGCTGGGAAAAGGGGTCTATTTTTGCTGGCTGCAGGGATCGATTTTATTGCTTTTCTTAACAAATTCCATACAAATTGATACTTGGTTGTATATTCTCTAAAAGGGTGGTGCTGGGAGGTACGTAAGGGGTGGAACCAAGGGACTGTGCAAGATGGAGACAAGGGGTGACTTGGAAAGGGAGAGTTCGTGCACCTCTTTGAGAAAAAAAGCCCTGTCTATAGAAATGCAAAACCTTCTTGAGGCTGGTCAAATGTAGGTCAGAAGGAGGTTACCTGCTTGCCAAAGACCAAAGGAAGATACTTGTAACCAGCAGTCTGTCCATCTCTATGGCTACAGCTGCTGGTCAATGGGGCAGGCTCCCACAAGGAACAAAGAAACTAACCACACTCTAATGATATCAGCAACATCACAGGAAGTCCACACTGAGTGAGACTTGGTCTGGATAGACTTCCTGTGATCTTGTCCTGGATCATCAAAGTTTAGTGAAGCCTGAAGTCATTGGAGTGGGGCCAGTTTCTTTGTTGCAGGTCAAACACGCCAGTTGACTAATTCTGGATGATCTCAAACTGATGTCAAAATGATGCCATCAACACTATTCCAAAGTCCAGCAAAAAAAGGCCCTTAGTATACTTATTTTCAAAAATCCGTGAAGATTTCAAAATTGTAGCCACATTGCTAAATTAAAGTGCTGTAAAGTGGTTGTAAAGGCTGCAGGTTTTTACCTTCATATATTCTATACCTTCATAGACTGCATTAAGGTAGAAAGCCAGTGTGTTGCTCCCCCCACAGGCCCCCTAATAGTTACCTGAGCCCGATCTTAATCCAGCACTGTGCATGGGCTCCCACTGCTGTCAATCACAGCCACTGAGTGAGAAGGGGGGGCAGGGTTCCTGAGCTGTGTCTTACAGATGCACAGAGCTGAGGTCAGGAGTGAGCACTCAGGGGGGAGGGGCCAGGAGTGTCAGCGGGGGACCTGAGAGGAGGAGAATCAGGGCTACTCTGTGCAAAACCATTGCACAGAGCAGGTTAAAGCGGAGTTCCAGTTGAAAAAAAAATAAAAGTCAGCAGCTACAAAAACTGTAGCTGCCGACTTTTAAAATACATACTTACCTGTCCGTTGGTCCAGTGGTGTCCTCACCACAGCTGGTTTCACTGGACATCTTCTCTCCCCAGTGCGGGCATCTTCAGTGTGGGCACCTGGCTGTGACAGCTTGCGACTTCAAAGCCAGGTGCCCACTGCACATGCATGAGTAGCACTGTGCTTTGAGAATGGTCCTGTAGTCTTCTGGGACCTGTCACATGTCCCAGAAGATTATGAAGAGGGAGGACAACGTCTGCTTCCGTTGTCCTTCAAATTAATACGTGGTGATCCTGCCAAGAAGGTACACTATATTGCCAAACGTATTGAGACGCCCGCCTTTACACACACACATAAACTTTAATGCCATCCCAGTCTTAGTCCGTAGGGTTCAATATTGAGTTGGCCCCCCTTTGCAACTATAACAGCTTCAACTCTTCTGGGAAAGCTGTCCACAAGGTTTAGGAGTGTGTTTATGGGAATGTTTGACCATTCTTCCAGAAGCGCATTTGTGATGTCAGGCACTGATGTAAGATGAGAAGTCAGGCTTGCAGTCTCCGCTTCAATTCATCCCAAAGGTGTTCTATCAGGTTGAGGTGCAGGCCCAGTCAAGTTTCTCCACCCCAAACTCGCTCATCCATGTCTTTATGGACCTTGCTTTGTGCACTGGTGTGCAGTCATGTTGGAACAGGGAGGAGCCATCCCCAAACTGTTCCCACAAGGTTGGGAGCATGAAATTGTCCAAAATGTCTTGGTATACTGACACCTCAAGAGTTCCCTTCACTGGAACTAAGGGGCCAAGCCCAACCCCTGAATACCAGCCCCACCCCATAATCCCCCCACCACCAAACTTTACACTTGACACAATGCAGTCAGGCAAGTACCGTTCTCCTGGAAACCACCAAACCCAGACACGTCTATCGGATTGCCCGACAGAGAAGCGTGATTTGTCACTCCAGAGAACACGTCTCCACTGCTCTAGAGTCCAGTGGCGACATACTTTACACCACTGCATCTGACATTTTGCATTGCACTTGGTGATGTACATCTTGGATGAAGCTGCTCAGCCATGGAAACCCATTCCATGAAGCTCTATATGCACTGTTGTCATGCTAATCTGAAGGCCACATGAAGTTTGGAGGTGTTTAGCTATTGACTCTGCAGACAGTTGGCGACTTCTGCGCACTGTATCCTTCAGCATGCTCTGACATCGCTCTGTCATTTTAAGCTGCTCAGCCATGGCAGCCCATTCCATGAAGCTCTCTACGCACTGTTGTTGTGCTAAACTGAAGGCTACATGAAGTTTAGAGTCTTTAATTATTGACTCTGTGCGCTTCAGCATGCGCTGACTCCACTCTGTCATTTTACATGGCCTACCACTTCGTGGCTGAGTTGCTGTTGTTCCCAGTTGCTTCCACTTTGTTATAATACCACTAACAGTTGACTGTGGAATATTAAATAGCAAGAAAATTTCACGGATGGACTTATTGCACAGGTGGCAACCTATCACAGTACCACACTTGAATTCACTGAACTCCTGAGAGCAACCCATTCTTTCACAAATGTTTGTAGAAGCAGTCTGCATGCCTAGGTGCTTGATTTTATACACCTGTGGTCATGGAGGTGATTGGAACACCTGAATCTAATGATTTGGAGGGGCGTCCCAATACTTTTGGCAATATAGTGTATGTGTCTGCACACTTCTGTTATGGGGTGACAACTGTCTCTCAGCAGTGCTCCTGTGTTGTCACCCTGTCACATGAGCCCCTAGGGTAGAGACTGCAGGATCACGGCTATGCCAACTGGATTACATACAAAAAAAAATTAAAAAGTGAAAACTGTATATTTAAAGCGTATCTGTGATCAAAATGTAATTTCATTTATTAATTTCCATTTTTGAATTCCAACTATTTATAGTCTACTCTTATTCTGCATGATCTTGAAGTTTGTAAACTTAGCAAAATTCCTGAACCCATTTATTTCTTTGAATTCTCTGATGTAGTCACCGTGTCACACATTACACAGAGCCTGCCTTCTACAAAGGTGCTGAGAGGCGTTACAGGAGGTGAAGTTAGTATAGGCAGGTGTGCAGGCAGCAAGGTACTATGGGATATGTAGTCCTTGGAGCTCAAAATTAAACCAAAGGAATGGCAAGAGGAGAAGTTGCAACGCATGCCGAAAACCCAGGAAGTTTGTGGAAAGAGATGGCCAATAGATCTCAGAAGATGAGAGATTTTTTCCCAAGTAAGCTTGTCAAACAAAATCACTATTGTTTTTATTGTTGGTACAATACTTATGTTATAAAATGAAAATATATGCTGTTACCATAGACTTCCTTTAATGAAAAATACAGTTCTTTAGCAAACTATCCATCTGTTTACACAGGGCTTAAAATATTCTACAACCTTGGCCCTGTGCACCTTTTGCCACCGCTTGTTTTCTTGGCTGGTAGGGAAGTGGTATTGACTCTTTGGAGTGTATAAACATCTATAGACGGCAGATAACAGTTGTTATACTTCTGGGGCATGACTAGGGTTGGCAGTGTTCCAGGTCTGCTAGCACCAACTCCTAAGTGATTTCAGCAATTGAGCTCCAGCGTTTAAAATATATGTCATCTCTATAAATAGGTTTATTTTATTTGCTTCTCTTTGGTCTGTAAATAACCATCGAAAGCATTTTGTTATCTCTGTTTCATAAAATTTCCCATTGATTTTGCCGAAAACCTTGAGAGCTGATGCTGTGTTCTTTGTTTCTGCACAAGGCGGCATTATGGTGTTGAGGAGGGGTTTTTGTTCTTTGTAATTCATCAGTATTTAAGTACACAGAGCAGAAAACTCATGCCAAGAATTTCAAATCTGCTAATACACTGTGTCATAGACGAAGGTAAGAATACACTATATTTCAGACACCTCAACAGTTATTTCTCTGTACCTGTTTTGTGTTGAAGGGGATAAAGGGTAAAATGTGCACATAAATGTACTAAACCTATTTTTTTTTTTTTTCCCTCTTTAAAACCTAAGCTCACAAAAAAGAAAAAATAAACCCAAAAATACTGCTTTTATGAATGGTGGATGGGCGGGATGATATGAAAGGTCCACTCCCCTCCATGCATAGAACTTGTTTTATTCATCGAATCTGTAGTACAGCTTCTATGAATGAAAAGGGTGGGCATAGTCAATGAGTGCCTGTGACAACTCCCTTAGTCCTATCAACCCCCACCACATTGGAAGATTATGGGGTGGCATCGAAGGAGGAAGATTTCTGCTAAATGGGGACACAACAGCACAAGGGACGCGTCTCACTGAAGGTAACTCATGCTTATTTCCTTTTTTTTTCTTTTGTAAACTTAAGCTGGCCATACACATGTAGATTTTCGGACAAGAATATTCGTAAGAAAAGTAGTATGAAAATTCTTTGCACATTCGATGAATGGACGAATGTCATTCAAAAATTGTCTTTTGCTTTTAAAATTCGATTTTAAAATGATGTAATGTCTGAAAATAACCACATACATTGGCCTGAAGTTCATTTGATTGAGAAGTTTTCCTTCCTGCCCCTATCGAGTTGCCATTACTGCTGTCAAAAACGAACATCGATTGGACTCCACTAATGATTAGAAAATCAATCGAATATTCTTGAAGTGAAAATTTTTGAACAAAAATCTACACAGTATGGCCAGTTTTAGGCCCTTTTCACACAGGGTGTATCTGTTTTCATCCATCCCTTGATGGATGAAAAATGGACAGCAATTAATTGCTTTGGGCAAACAGATGTAAACAGATCACAGCGCAGATCGTGTTTGATCAGCATCTTTCCCAGTCACATTAGCCAGGGAATAACCACACTTAGCTGACACAGAAATGGCATATATCCTTTTGTCTCTTTCAGCTAAGTCCTGCCATGACCATCCTGGGGCAGGGGAGAGGGGGGCCCTAGGATACAAGGTTTGGGACAGCACATTACAGGAGATGTGTAAGTGATCAGATGGCATTTCAGCAACCTGATTAATTCCAGCAGAAAGCCTGCAGTTGTCTTGACAAACACATTATGCAATAATATCTGGGAATGGTGTAAAAGCCCATACTGTCACAGATGTATCTTTATGTTGGAGGTAGTAAAAGAGTTAAGACATTGCTGCCTCTTACTGCTAGTCATATGACATTTGGATTATGATTAAGGGTGCATTCACACTTCCGAATGCACCCACGGAGCAATTACAGGCAAGAACCCCAGCAGGGGTTCTCACGATTAGCCATAAGAGGCAACCCCATTGAAAGCAGTGGGAGTCTGATGATTCTGGCAGGCAATCACACCCACTCCCATGCAATCAATCATGTAGCAATCATATACAAGCAATTGGCCCTGGATGTAGACTAACTGCGTCCAAGGCCGATTACTCACATGTGATCACTTACATGCTAATGGGAACGATTGGCTGTGAGAGCTGGCAGCCTCCCATTTCAATGGAGCTGTCTCCCGCAGCTAATCGTGGGAACCCTTGCTGGGTTCTCACATGTAATTGCTGAGCATGTGCATTTGCAAGTGTGAATGTGATGCCACTACTGTCCTGCTCAGTGGTTTTCTTGCTGAAAGCTCTGATCTGAGGAAGCAAAGCCCTGCCTCTGTTGACCGCTTCCCATCTGCCCTATAGCAGATATACTGCTACAGGTGGCATGGGTGCGCAAAATCACGTATATATACAATTTTGCATTTCCAGGTAGGGGGCGCATGGGAGCCGCTCACGGGCCCTACCTGCGCTGCCATTCACACCAGCTGCTGTCAATCACCAGGTCCCAGGGCTGATGATTACTCGCCAGCGCCTGGTGATTTCCGGCGATCTCCGACAGGGAGGAGAACTGTTTTGTTTACTAACAGTTCTCCCTCCTGTCAGCTCGGCACACTGCTTTGGCTAACTGTGCACAGCACAACCTTCCAAAGAAGTGTGCTTACAGTGAAGTAAATGGACACAGCCCCCTAGTAGAACACTCTCAGCACAAGGTTAATCCTTTGATCGCCCCTCATGTTAACCCCTTCCTGCCCAATGCCATTAGCACAGTGTCAGGGGTTTTTTTTGTTTTTTGTAGCACTGATCACTGTATTGGTGTCACTGGGAATGTCCGTGACACCAAGTCAGTTCCTCCCAGTGTCAGAATTCCCGCCACAGTCCTGCTATAAGCTGCTGATCACCGCCATTACTAGTAAGAAAAAAAAAAACAATTTCAGTATCTATACCGCCATTTGTAAAACTTTCATGGAAACCATTTTGTTTACACGTAGTAGAATTTTTTATTTTTTTTTAGCAAAGACGTAGCAGAATACATTTTGGCCTAAAGTTATGATGAAATTTGATTTTTAAAATGTATTAATAGCAAAAAGTAAAAAAAAAAAAAAATTTTTTTTATAGCACAAAAAATAAAAACTGCACAGACAATCAAATACCACAGAAAGAAAGCTCAATTTGTGGGGGAAAAGAACAGTACATACATTTCATTTGGGTGCAGCGTGGCATGATCGCGCAATTGTCAAAGTAACACAGCGTCGTAACGCAAAAAATGGCCTGGTCAGGAAGGGGGGGGGGGGGGGTAAATCCTCAGGAGATCAAGTGATTAAGATCACTGCCTCTATACACAGGCAGAGAGCAGAACCAAGACATGGAAGTCATTGTGAGAAAAGATCAGCTGCAGGCCGACCAAGGGCAATGCTTTGGTAACTGCCTGCCTTTTGTTGGGCAAAGCTTTCATGGTTCAGTTTCACTTTAATGAATGCCAATGTCTATTAATAGACAGGAATCAAGTTACAATACAGTGTCCCACTATTCACATAATTGTTTTGTTACTATAAAAGATTTTATACATTAACTGCGTTTTATTTTAAATGTAAGACAGCGATGTGAAATGACGGCAGCTTCAGAGCTCATCTCTATTTTATTTTCGGCTCTGCTCCAGCTCCACCCCCTGAACTATCAAATTGAGCCAGAGCCTTGCAAACCCAAATTTGTAATCGTGACAGCAGCTGCAATGTCACTCGTAAGTATCGGATACTGGAACAAGGAGTTAAATAGTTGATCAGGTTAAAAAAAGACATAAATCCATCTAGTTTAACCAACGGGGATGGAAAAAGAAAACCAAACAAACCCATACACACAGTCCTATACCTACAGTTAATCCAGAGGCAGGCAAAAAGACCTGATAAAGCATGGTGCAATTTGCTCCAGAGGGGCAAAAATTAAAATTCCGTCCTAATCCCCCCAGGAGGCAATTGGATATTCCCTGGATCAATTAGCCGTGTGTTATTACCTAGAAATGTTAATATCCAGTTATATTTTGTGTATTTAAGAATGCTTCCAGCACGTTTTTAAAACATTCTACTGGCCAGGATTTGTTCTCTAGGGAGTCTAATCCACATTTTCAGATTGAAACATAATCCTATAAAATTGGGGAGCTGCACTTTAAATTGTCACAGATGTGTTTTCCTCTCATACATACTAATATTGGTAACATAGAAAATAGTTTATTTTTTAACCACTTACCCTTCAGAGTCGTTACCCCCCCCCCTCCCCACTTCCTGACCAGGCCATTTTTTTTGCTGTTCCACACTGCGCTATTTCAACTGGTCATTGCACGGTCATGCTATGCTGTACCCAAATTAAATTTATGTCCTTTATTCACACAAATAGAGATTTCTTTTGGTGGTATTTGATCACCTTTGCAGTT